AAGCTTTATCCTGTTGTATAATTTTCAATTTAAAAATGCAAAAAAAAAAAAAGGATGACTGATGTTCGCAAAGAGTCTACTTCAGGCTCTTCAGACAGGATCCATGGATATAATCAGCAGGACAATGACGCAAGACCAAGAGGCTGCAAACATCCAGTGACGTATAGAAGGGTACCTAGCAGCAGGATTCAGCTCAAGTATATTCAAGGATCTGACCAGCATTGGCAGAAGAAGAAAAAAATAAAAACACAATTTTTTAATAGGTTTGCAACTGTGAGGTTAACTTAAATCTTTTTAAATATGAAAATTTACATCACATGTTTAGTTTTTTTTTCCCCCTACAAAATATGAAAAAAGTCAAATAAAAACATTTCAATTTAATTGCATCGATTTAATGAAGGGCCTTCTTCTGCACCTATCCAGACTAGATCATTTTTTGCAATTCATGATATACACTGAACAAAATAATAAACGTAACACTTTAGTTTTTGCCCCCATTTTTCATGAGCTGAACTCAAAGATCTAAGACTTTCTCTATGTACACAAAAGGCCTATTTCTCTCAAATATTGTTCACAAATCTGTCTAAATCTGTGTTAGTGAGCACTTCTCCTTTGTCGTGATAATCCATCCACCCCACAGCTGTGGCATATCAAGATGCTGATTAGACAGCATGATTATTGCAAAGGTGCGTCTTGCGTCCACAATAAAAGGCAACTCTAAAATTTGCAGTTTTATCACACAGCACAATGCCACAGATGTCGCAAGTTTTGAGGGATTGTGCAATTGGCATGCTGACTGCAGGAATGTCCACCAAAGCTGTTGCCTGTGAATTGAATGTTCATTTCTCTACCATAAGCTGTCTCCAAAGGCTTTTCTGAGAATTTGGCAGTACCACGTGTAACCACACCAGCCCAGGACCTCCACATCCAGCATCTTCACCTCCAAGATCGTCTGAGACCAGCCACCCGGACAGATGCTGCAACAATTGGTTTGCATAACCAAAGAATTTCTGCGCAAACTGTTAGAAACCGACTCAGGAAAGCTCATCTGCATGCTCGCTGTCCTCATCGGGATGACCCATTGAGCATGTTTGGGATGCTCTGGATCGATGTATACAACAGCATGTTCCAGGTCCTGCCAATATCCAGCAACTTCACACAGCTATTGAAGAGGAGTGGACCAACATTCCACAGGCCACAATCAACAACCTGATCAACTCTATGCGAAGGAGATGTTTTGCACTGCGTGAGGCAAATCACACCTGATCACACCAGTTTTCGGACACCCCCGGACCACCCCAATACAGTAAAACTGCACATTTTAGAGTGGCCTATTATTGTGGCCAGTCTTAGGCGCACCTTTGCAATAATCATGCTGTCTAATCAGCATCTTGATATGCCACACCTGTGAGGTGAATGGATTATCTCGGCAAAGGAGAAGTGCTCACTAACACAGATTTAGACAGATTTTTAAACAGTATTTGAGAGAAATAGGCCTTTTGTGTACGTAGAAAAAGTATTAGATCTTTGAGTTCAGCTCATGAAAAATGGGGGCAAAAACAAAAGTGTTGCGTTAATAATTTTGTTCAGTGTAGATCAAGTACCATTATAATAATGAAGTGCTGGAACAGAACAGTCAATAGTTTTAGTCAAGTTAAAAATGGAAAGGAATTAAATAGGAATAATATTATTGTCAGATAAATGCATTCAGCAACTTTTTTCTATCATGTGCATATGAATGCAAGTATTATTTATGTATCTAAAAAAAAAATTCAATTTTTTTTTATAACTGGAACATCAGGAAAATATTTTTTTTTATCACATGTATACCATTTTATATTGTTGCATATTGACAATAGTTAGCATGTGTTGGTTGCAGGATGTATTTTTTGTGTGTTTATCTTGTTTTTTCCAGGGGGCCTGGTTCAGCAAGTTCTAGAGCTATTTTGTAGTATTCCTCGTATTAGTCAATTCTCCCCAGGGTGTCAGCCTCCATTCTGTTTCTGCATTAAGATTTAAACACTTTTCAACCCCTTCACTAACTATTAGCATTACATTTATTTGAAGCAAGGGATGCATTGCTAGCATATGAACATATCATAACACAGCTATTTTCCATGTAGATTTCTTTGAAGACAAATGTAAAAAATGAAAATCTGTAAATGTATGCAATTTTTACTTTCACTTATTCATTCACCTTTTATAAAAAATATTTGGGAAATTAAAAGCTTTAGACATTATGTGGTGTTCTTTATCTTACAATATTTCACACAGGGTCTGAAATGTTAGTGAAAAAGCAAAAATGCTATTTTTCTTACATAGAGTCAGTGGCGTAGTTAGAGCTTTTGCCACCCAGGGTGGTCCCTGACTTGCTGCCACACTCGTGGCTTTATTTTTTGGGGGCCCTTCCAGCACCCCAGCCTTTGGGAGAACTGGTGTGGGTCCTTTCTATGGGGTCCAGTGGGGATCATCTTCCTGGGGTCCATTGGCTCTGCAATCTTCCAGTTCCTCAATGCTCACTCATGCTGTTTTGTGATGCAGGAATGACATCATTTTCTAGTTGCAGGCATCATCACAGAGGGCATGCAAGGGAGTAGTGAGGAACTAGAATATTATCAGCAATCCCTCACCGCTGCCTGCCTCTTCTCTCCCCCATTATAGTTCAGCCTTGGTAAATAAGTCCCCGCTTTGGAGGGCTCCCTAAGGTGGACAGTCAGACACCTCATAGGCCCCCTTTGACAAGCCATTGGCCTGCTCCCAAAAAGCTATGCCACTGCGTGCAGCAGGTGGGACAAAAAATAAAAATAAGTGTTTAAAAATCTTGCTTATAGGTATTTGTAGGGGAACCCATATTGTAGCAAGTGCTTGGAGAAGCAATAAGACACACGACACAGGATAGTAGTGAATCAGTAGATTGCTTCTAGCTTTAATTGGGGGAGATCAGCTTTATACAGTAGAGGATACGTGCTTGCATTCAAGGAAAGGAATGTAAGAAGAGAGAAATTTCTAAATGTCAAAAGATAAGCAGTTTACAGAAGTACTCCGGTTGGGGCTAGTTTTTGTAAGAAAGACAAGGTTCATTTACACATAAAGCATATCATGACCAAGTTAGCTAATTTTAATAGAGCCTGGACCAAATGGCATCCTTAACTTGAGCCTTGGAATCAAGGTGCTTACCTTCACAATCCCCTCTTTTGATTCAAGGGTCACTAAATTGTCCAAGGTATTTCCAGGTGTGCTAGTCACATCAGTGGGACTTTCATTAAATTTTCTTTTTTTTTTTTTGTTATTTATAATTTTTATTATTTTCATACAAATATAAACATTCATCTTACATACTTACATAGAACATAATGTTCAAAATTCAATCGAAATCATACAAAAGGTCATAGTACAATATATACATAGAAATACATCAACTTTCATGCCAAATGGAGAGCAAGGGGAGATCTATAAATTGGTCACATAGTTCCAGAGTCACATTAGAGTCGTATACAAATTTTCCACCCTTAAGTCTCTAGGTGTGACCTGGACATTCTGTCACTCAGGGAAAACCATAATCACCATATTCACTTTATAAGTTTTCTAGCCAAAAGGTGCTATAGTCTTTAGTTGTCAGATCTTTACCATATAGCTTGTCTAGTTGGGATTCCATTCTCAATTGAAACTTAACCTGAAATAGTTTATCTAAAGAAAAGGGTAATGAATTTTTCCAATTCCTAGCTATTATTATCTTTACTGCTATCATAAAATGAATATAAATAGTCAAATCCTTCTGCGATAAGGAATCAATATTTAGATGTAAAATAGCATTTTCTGGAAATTTAGGAATAGGCTTAGAAATCAATTTATCAAGACTAACAAAACTTTCCTGCCAAAAGTTTCTGACAATCTCACATTCCCACCAAATGTGTATAAAAGAGCCCAGCTGTTGCTTACATCTCCAACATAGTGGTGAAGTCGAGCTATACATATTGGCTAGTCTGGTAGGGACAAGGTACCATCTATTTATTACTTTATATAATGTTTCCAGTAAATTCAAACAGTGGATATTTTTAGCTGTTCTGGATACAACTGCACACCAATTTTCCTTATTAATTTTTATTTTAATTCTTTCTCCCATTTTTGCAAAGAAGTAATGACAGGAGGTGCATCCAGTTTTAGAATAGCATTCATTGCTGAAGCAGATACTCTGTTTACTGTCTTGTTATTTAATATTAAACATATCAGCTTAGCCCCGACTTGTAGATTATGCTCAATCTTTTGGTTTAAGAAGTTTTTAAATCTCAAATAACTAAATTATTCCTTATTAGTTAACCGGAATTCCTGCTTCAGTTGTGGGAATGGTTTAATTTTATCGTTTACAAACAACTGGTCAGTCTGGATGATACCACTAGAAATCCAACTTTCATTATATTTTCACCACAGTTCCCCTAGACTGGGCAACCCAAGAATCAGCTGAGGAGATTTTACTTCATCTGTTAAGCGCTGTAGACTCCAGAAGCAGGAAAAACCTGGCGTATAGGTTAACGTTCGATGAACAGTAGATTTGGTTTTACACATAGATGTTCATAGACAAGAAATGAGCTTAAAAGTGAGAAACATCGCCATTATGATAAACACAGATAGTAAGAACAAGTACAACATTTTCTTAATCAATAAACTCAATTTTCCCAGTCCAAATGTCCAATACTCAAAGAACCTGGTGTCTTGCTTAATTTCTTTCACTAAGTTGTGTAAGTTCTGTATGTGTTGGTGTTTGTGTATCATGGACCCATGATCAGAGAGGTTAAAACGACACATACCCTTAACAGTTTCACATCCTAACTCATGTTTCAACAGTAAATAATCAATAGCTGCTCTATTCTCAAGGATCGCTTTCTTATTAACCTTGGTATCCATTAGAAGTTCCTCTAGGTCCTGGGTAGAGATGTCGCGAACCTTCCGCAAACTTCTCGCGAACGGTTTGCCTCGAACCGTTCGTGGCGAACTCCGGTCAGCTGACACATCCCTGCCAATCTCCGGCAGACCCTCCCTCCCAGACCCTCCCACCTCCTGGACAGCATCCATGTTGAAGGCAGCTTCAACATGGATGCTGTCCAGGAAGTAGGAGGGTCTGGGAGGGAGGGTCTGCTGGAGATTGGCTGGGATGTGTCAGCTGACCGGAGTTCGCCACGAACGGTTCGTGGCGAACCGTTCGCGAGAAGTTCGCGGACAGTTCGCGACATCTCTAGTCCTGGGATGTTGCATTTAAACCTTTGGTGAGGGAAAAAGCTAGGGCATTAATTACTCAGGTGTTATATAGTGATAAGCCTGGACTTCTACCATGGAGTACACAAGGGCAGAGTATTCGGAATTAGATAAGAGAGTGATTTCAGGGTTACAATCTGAAGTAAGGGTGTTTTTGACATCTCTCCTGTCTCTCTGCGGTTTGCGTAGCTGGGTGGTTTCAGAGATCATGTCAGATTTGGAAAACTTGTTTAGGCGAGAGATTGCACAGGGACCTCCTGTTACCTTTGACATAAGCATAAGTAACATTTCCACAGGAAAAAGTTCATCCTTTAGGGACATTGACATGGTGATGGTAACTCATAACTTGGTGAGTTTGGTTATATTTCATGGTGATGTTCCAGGCTCTACAATTCATGGTATTTATCCACCATGTGGGGCAAAACAGGGATTTAGTATTAGGGTCTCTTGAACAATTATAAGAAAAAGACCAATGTAGCTCAGCGGCTATCACATTAATTGTTTTCAGGGCTAAGGGGGACTTGCCAACCAGTGGGTTGAAAGCATAAGAATGTAATTGTAGCTTTTTATGGGGTCTATGGGTATGTAGGTACTTCTCCAAGAGTGAGATGGGGTAGGGACAGCTAGAAGACAAAATGGTATGGCGTTTTCAGTACTGAGGAGAGGTTAGATTAAAAAGTCTTTGCTATCTGCATCCATATATTTCCCTGCCATGCATTATTATCTTCTAGTCTCAAGTCAGAGTAGCATATCTGAACAGACCATACAATGGTAAAAGATAAGAACACTTTAATGATGGTGTATCTGTAGGGTGCACTTGTTTGCAGTGACTGGCGTGTATCCATGTGGCTTGCCTTCCAGTTTAAAGATATAGCTGTAGTTAGCAATACTTGGAAGGGACCATCAAATCCTGGCTCAAGTCCTTTTCTCACGTGTCTTTTTATCACTACCCAATCTCCAGGTTGTAGTTTATGAGTGGTAGGACTGAAGTCTGGATCTGGAATAGAATCAAACACTTGTTTATGCACCTGCCCTAACTTCTTATGGAGGGCCTGAACATAGGAGGTCATGTTACTATGTTGTAATTGGAGTGTCTGGGGGAAATAGAGTCCTGTCTTTGGGGCACAACCAAACAGAATTTCAAATAGAGACAAACAACTTCTAGGACGGGGAGGTGGTGGGGGGGGAGGGGGTGAATCTCATAGAGAAGAATGCTAGGGGGAGGTATATAGTCCAGTTTTCCCTGTCTCCTGCATGGTCTTTGCAATTTTATTCTTTAAAGTGCCATTTGCCCTTCCTACTTTCCCACTACTCTGGGGGTGGTGTGGAAAGCCTGACTGATCCCTAGCACTTTCATTATCTCTTTCATTATCTCTCCAGTGAAATGACTACCTCTGTCACTTTCAATCACTTTAGGTACCCCGTATCTACATACCAGTTCTTTCAGAAGCTTACTTGCTGTGACCTTTGTTGTGGCTTTCGGCACTGGGTAGGCCTCAGGCCAACCTGAAAAGAGATCAATGCACACCAACACATATTCATACACTCCTACCTTAGGCAGTTGAATATAGTCTATCTGCAGTCGCTGAAACGGGTAAAGTAGCCTTGGTATGTGTTGACCTGGTGTTTTGACAGCCTGTCTAGGGTTATTTCTAGCACAAATCATGCAAGCCTGGGTGTGTTTAGCTACTACAACAGTAAACCCAGGTGCCACCCAGTGGGTGCTTACTATACATTTCATGTTCATTCTTGACAAATGCGTTGGTCCATGAGCCATCATAGGGTATAGAACTCGTGGTAAACATAGTCTTTTACCTTTTCTCCACATCTTGTCATCATCAGATTATGCATCTTGTTTCCTCCAGAGGTCTTGTTTTTCTTTGCTTGCTTGCTTCTGCAGGCTCAACAGTATATTGTAGTCAACAGCGTCATCTGTAAGAACAACCTGTAGGAGGGTATTACCTGAGCGTGTGGAAGGGTGAAGTTGGATTGCTGCTTGCTTGGCAGCTTGTCTGCTTTGTGGTTTCCTCTTGTAATTTCATCTGTGATCTTAACGTGAGCTGCCAACTTGATAATGTCTACTTGAGCACGTAGCAGAATAGCAACCATTAGGGCACTCACATATTCAGAGTTCTTAATTGGAGTTCATGCTGAGGTTAGAAAATAACGAACCCGCCATATAGGCCCAAAATCATGGGCTATACCAAAGGCATAGTGAGAGTGTGTGTGAATATTAGCTGTCTTACCAGAGGCCAGTTTGCACGCTTCAGTAAGTGCCTTCAGCTCAGCCTCCTGTGCAGAGCAGTGAGGGGCGAGTGGTTTAGCTTTTATTACCTCATGTGCAGAGACTACAGCATATCCAGTGTGGAAATAGCCCTTTTCATCAGCATATCTGGGACCATCTACAAAAACTCAAAGTCTGGATTAGACAATGGAGAATCAGTTACATGCAAAAAAAACGGCTGTCTCTTGTGCCATTAATGCTGCACAGTCGTGGGGTAACTGAGCTTCAGCTAACTCATCTGGTGACAGAGAATTTACAAAAAAGATCAGAACTACAATCACTACTCCCCTCTTTTAAATCCAGGGGAAGTAATGTAGATGGATTTAATACCATACACCTTTTTAAAAGGACATTTAGAGACATGAGGAGAGCACACTGCATCCTACATGTATGTTTTTGGGCTGAACTTGTGTTAGAATGTTGTTAATGTCATGCGGGGTGTCAATGGTGATGGAGTTGTCTAGGAAAATATAGGTGGCTTTGTCCAGTAGGGCAGTAACAGCAGCTACTGCTCTTACACAGGAAGGGGCACCTCTGGCAACAGGGTCCAACCTGGTGGAGTAATAGGCAATGAGTCTCTGTTTCCCACCGTGATCCTGAGATAGGACAGCTGTTGCATAACCAGCCTGCTCGGTGCAAAACAGGGTGAAGGGTTTTCTGTAATCTGGGAGACCCAGTGCCGGGGCTGAGGTGACAAGCATTGTAAGGGTGTAAATCAGCTTTATACAGTAGAGGATACGTGCTTGCATTCAAGGAAAAGAATGTAAGAAGAGACATATTTCGAAAAGTCAAAAGATAAGCAGTTTACAGAAGTACTCTGGTGGGGGCTAGTTTTTGTAATAAAGAGAACTTAATTTAGGACAAGGTTCATTTACACATAATACATATCATGATCCAACTAAGCCAATGTTAATACAGACTGGACCAAATGGCATCTGTAGCTTGAGCCTTGGAATCAAGGTGCATTCCTTCACACTCACACGTGCGGATAAACAGGGTCCAAGGTGACCAAGTAAGAAGTCACCTGGACTGTGAATCTGTGCACAGGGGCTGTGCAGGAAAGGTGCTTCAATACGCAGTACAGGCAAGGTCACAAGCAGAAGGATAGAAGTCAAGAGTAAGCTACAGTCAGAGGAAGCCAGAGATCAAGATGAATGGATAGTGGAGTCAAGGTCAGAAGCCGGGGTCAATCTGGAGAACAAGTTCAGGAGACAAGAAAACAGGAACTACACACGATCACCAGAGTCAAATAACTGACAAAGTTCCCAGGGCGAGGCAGTGCTTAAATATCTGGTTGATGAAGGACCCAGGTTCAAATCCCCTGTCTGGCACCTGTGGGGTGACCATGCCTGGCCGGCCTGATTTCATGGTGAGAACCTAAACAGTACCCTCCCTTTAAGAACAGGCTAACAGGTTAACAGGCTCTCTAGAGTTGCAGTACACCTCATCGTTGGTTTCACTATCACTAAGATAGTCCTTGTAACCGAAGTCCCCAGAGTGGAGTCCCTTAACAGCATGGGGCTCAATAGTACCAGCTTCTGGTACCGCTGGAGATAGGTCAAGGTCTTTGATGGTGCAGGTGCTAAGTGCTTCTAGTACCTTAGCAGGAGCGGAGTTTGTGGCTACCAATGCCTTCTCGAGCATTTGTAGATCCTTTTTGCAGACTTTAGTACCATTTGAGGCAAAGGTACAATACACAGGTATGTCTTCTTTGAGCTGGCTGGAATAAGTGGTGGTTTCAACAGAAGTATCTTCGGGAAGAGGTGCAGATGTCTCTGGAGCAGAAGGTAGAGACTTCTCAGGGGTACTGGTTATATTGATTACCATAGTCTGGGTGCCCTTTTGTGTCACAGAACGTGAACAGGCTAGACAGCAACCTTGGCGGTTTCCAGGATGTTTTGGAGGGATGACAGGATGGGTCCATATGGTACCCAATTGAAGAGCCTTAGGCCTAGGTGGACAAGTAGGGCAGTGGGAGATAAAATACCCTCTTTCTCCACAGTATAAACAAAGGCCACAACCTCTCCTTCTGTCTTTTTCCTCGGAAGACAACCTGGTGCGGATGACACCGTTCTCCATAGGTTCATCTTTGTCCATTGGAGTCCCCTCGGAACCGGATCATAAAGAGACAACAAGGTGGCGTGGCGTTGGTACAGGGTCTTCCTGTTTCTGGGAACCTGGGATCTTCTGGGACATGGAGCAGGCTTTTTCACAGTGTTCTTGCACTGCAAGTCCATCGCAGTCATGAAAGATTCCCAAGTGTCAAGGACAGGACTCTTCACCTGCAACATCTGGTGAGCCCATTTTTTGATCCGTCCAGACAACAGATTGATAGCCACTCGGACCATGATGACGTCTGTGGTATATGTTTGAGGTTTTAAGGAAAATAACACGTCGCAATCCACCTTGAAGGACTCGAAGGACGTGCGGCTACCATGAAATCTCTCAGGCATGATAACGAATGGATGTGGGGCTGGGTGTACTGTACCTTTAAGGATCAGAACTTCACGCTGCAGCTCCGAAACAGTCTGGGCCAGGCTGGATACATGCTGAGCAAGGGAGGTGAGCAGCTTACACATCTCTGCAGACTCCATGATGATCAGTTCTTTATGTCATGGCTTACCT